GTTCAGGCACCAGGCATGGTGTCACACGCCTTTAACCTCAGCACTCAGGAGGCAGAGGCAGAACCATTTCTGGGAGTTCAAGGCCAGCCTGGTCTACATTAGGATTTCTAGACCAGTCTCGACTACACAACAAGGACTCTACCTCAAAAACAAACAAACCTCAGTACACAAATCCCCACAGCTGAGCCAGTTCTGTTCATGGGAGGTGGGGTGCTTGGTGTGGTTCAGTTCAGGCATGCATCACCTCCTCTGTGTAAACTGCCTGTCCTGTCCTCACTTCCTAGATCAGCTCAGGCACACATCATCTCTGTGTAAACTGCCCGTCCTGCCCTTACTTCCTAGATCAGCTCAGGCACATATCACCTCCTCTGTGTAAACTGCCTGTCCTGCCCTCACTTCCTAGATCAGCCCAAGCACACATCACCACCTCTGTGCAAACTGCCCGTCCTGCCCTCACTTCCTAGATCAGCTCAGGCACATATCACCTCCTCTGTGTAAACTGCCTGTCCTGCCCTCACTTCCTAGATCAGCTCAAGCACACATCACCACCTCTGTGCAAACTGCCCGTCCTGCCCTCACTTCCTAGATCAGCTCAGGCACACATCATCTCTGTGTAAACTGCCCATCCTGCCCTTACTTCCTAGATCATCTCAGCATCACCTCCTCTGTGTAAACTGCCCATCCTGCCCTTACTTCCTTGATCAGCCCAGCATCACCTCCTCTGTGTAAACTGCCCATCCTGCCCTCACTTCCTGGATCAGCCTAGCATCACCTCCTCTGTGTAAACTGCCCTTCCTGCCCTTACTTCCTGGATCAGCCCAGCATCACCTCCTCTGTGTAAACTGCCCATCCTGCCCTCACTTCCTGGATCAGCCCAGCATCACCTCCTCTGTGTAAACTGCCCATCCTGCCCTCACTTCCTGGATCAGCCCAGCATCACCTCCTCTGTGTAAACTGCCCTTCCTGCCCTTACTTCCTGGATCAGCCCAGCATCACCTCCTCTGTGTAAACTGCCCGTCCTGCCCTTACTTCCTGGATCAGTTCAGCATCACCTCCTCTGTGTAAACTGCCTGTCCTGCCCTTACTTCCTAGATCAGCTCAGGCACACATCACCTTCTCTGTGTAAACTGCCCGTCCTGCCCTCACTTCCTAAAAAACACCTTCCCAGGGGGCCAGGTCTCCTGAGCACTAGCAAATCCCAATTAGTGCACACTTCATGCAGAGACTTCTGTGAAACTATCTCTGTAGCTCTGGGGATACATGATGTGTGTATGTGAGGATGCACACGTACCATACACACACATCACATCGTGTGCATGGCACGCAGACTGGCGGCAGTCTCCACTTTCCACTGTACTTCATGCCCCAGGCCAGTGGCCTGCAAACTACCAGGAGAGCCTGCAAGAGTCTCCTGTTTTTGCCTCCCATCTCTCCATGGGAGTACCTGGATCACAGTTACATGTCACCACGTCTATATTTAACATGGGTTCCAGGAACCTGAACTCGGGTCCTCGGGTTTGTACTTCCTACGTCATCCTTCCAGTCCCCAATACAGTCTAAATTGAAACTGAACGAAACATGCATGCATGTGGTACACACGCACCCCCTCCCAAAACAAATGTGAAAAATAAGAGTTATTTTTTGCTTAGATTCTATTGGTGTGGGACCATGGTCTATATTCTGTCAATTAAGGGCTGGAGAGATGGCTCAGTGGTTAAGAGCACTGACTGCTCTTCCAGAGGACCTGAGTTCAATTCCCAGCACCAACATGGCAGCTCACAATTGTCTGATGATCCAGTTGCAGGGGATCTGACACCTTCACACCAATGCACATAAAATAAAGTTAAATAAACCGTAAAAAAAAAAAATATATTCTGTCAATTATATTTTAAATAAATGCTGATTGCCCAGTAGCCAGGCAGGAAGTATAGGCAGAACAACCAGACAGGAAGTAGAGGCAGGTCAATGAGAACAGGAATATTCTGGGAAGAAGGAAGCTCTTTTTGCAGTTGTGAGCCCACCACAGAAGAAGGAAGATGTGAATGCCTCGCTGAAAAAGGTACCGAGCCATGTGGCTAGCATAGACAAGAATAATAGGCTAATATAAGTTATAAGAGTTAATAAGGGGCTGGAGAGATGGCTCAGAGGTTAAAAGCATTGACTGTTCTTCCAAAGGTCCTGAGTTCAATTCCCAGCAACCACATGATGGCTCATAACCATCTGTAATGAGAACTGGTGCCCTCTTCTGGCCTGCAAGTATACATGCAGGCAGAAAACTGTATATATAATAAATAAAGTTTAAAAAAAAGAGAATTAATAAGAAGCCTGAGCTAATGGGCCAATCAGTTTATAGTTGATGTAGATCTCTGTATGGTTTCATTGGGACTTAATGATTGTGATTACGGGAGCCGGGCAGGACAGAAACCCCGACAACACTCTATTTAGATTAAAAAGCACTAAATTGGTACTTCACAAAGTCTATATAATTATTTCTTTTTTTTTTTTTTTGTGTGTGGTTTTTCGAGACAGGGTTTCTCTGTGGTTTTGGAGCCTGTCCCGGAACTAGCTCTTGTAGACCAGGCTGGTCTCGAACTCACAGAGATCCGCCTGCCTCTGCCTCCCGAGTGCTGGGATTAAAGGTGTGCGCCACCACCGCCCGGCTATAATTATTTCTTACAGTCATAGTCAAACACCAAAGAACGCTGCATAAACTGGAAGCTTTACAGTTTCTGAATGGTTGGCGGGACTGTAATTTGGTGGCATAATACTTGCCTGGGTTATTCAGAGCCCTGGGTTCAATCCAAGCCTGACAAAGGGGACAGGGGTAGAAAATCTATTAGATTTTCTAATTCATAATGACAAAAAGTTAAAACTAAGCTCTATTGTTTCATATAAAACAAAACAAAAAAAACTTCTTAAAAAAGCTGGGGGAAGTGGGGACAGGGGTGCTTCATGCCTTTGATCCTAACACCCAGGAAGCAGAGGTAGAAGGATCTCCAAGTTCAAGGCCAGCCTGGTCTACAAAGCCAGTTCCAGCACAGCTGCGGCAAGAAACCCTGCCTTGAAAAAACAAAAACAAACAAACAAAAAAGAACAAACAAACAAATTGGGCGTGGTGGCGCATACCTGTCATCCCAGCAGGGGAAGGTGGTGGCAGGAGGATCCAGGGATTATAGCAGCCTGTACACATCAAATCGGAGGCACTCCTGGGCTAGGAGATCCTGCCTCAAAATACTCATCAATCAATCACTAACAGATCTAATGGCCATCATCTTTAGCTATGGATAACTTTCTTCAAATTTAAAGAGATCCTGTGGGTTCCAGGTCTACATAGCTAGTTCAAGGCCACCTGAGGTTATCTGCTGAGACCATGCCTCAAAAATAAATAACTTAAATTCTAAAGGTGAAGAAGAATATAAAGAGACCTCTGCTCCTCCAAGGAAGGAATGTAAAGTAACGAAGAATCAACACTGAAAATGCACAAAGAGCTGCTGCTGAGAATAGGCAACAGTCACCTTCCACAACAGAAACATCAAAATACTGGAATTCCGACGTGAGAAATAGGGGCTACAGTACAAATGTTTAGTTTTTTTTCTTCAAGTTGCCAGGCATGGTTGTACTACCTGAATCAAAGCAGGAGGGTCACAAATTCACATGCCAACCTGGGCTACTCAGTTGAGTTCGAGGCCAGCCAGGACTATTTATGTCTCAAAACAACATAAAAAGTCCTTCTTGATGCTATATTATGATATTAATTATATCTAGATACAGACATTATCTATATAAAGAACACTGTCAGAGTTCTTTCTTGGAAACATAGAAGAAAGCACACATAGCAGTTAGGAGGTGGGCAAGCATTTAGGGAATACAGCCACAAAACAGGACAAGAGCCGGGCAGTGGTGGCGCACGCCTTTAATCCCAGCACTCGGGAGGCAGAGGCAGGCGGATCTCTGTGAGTTCTAGGCCAGCCTGGTCTCAAAATACAAACAACAAAAAAATCTGAACACTATTTATTCTCTTCAGGACACGTGGCCCTCTCCAAGTCACTGCCATTCCTTTAATTCTGCTTCAAACATGTGCTTTCTTCAGGGCCCCAGCATCTTTCTCCAGCTGCCACGGTAATTCTATGTTCCACCTCCTTTAAAGCACAGAGACCTCCACTGTACGCTATTCTTTTACATTGGAATGAATGCCAACTCTCGGAATGTCAGTTTTCATTTCTTTTCTTTTTTGGGGGGGGAGGGGTTCAAGACAGGGTTTTTCTGTAGCTATGGTGCCTGTCCTGGAACTAGCTCTTATAGACCAGGCTGGCCTCGAACTTACAGACATCCACCTGCCTCTGCCTCCCGAGTGCTGGGATTGAAGGCGTGAGCCACCACCGCCTGGCTGGAACGTCAGTTTTCTAACAGATTAATGCAGATGAGAACATTTACTTATCCAGGAGCAGCCACGGCTAAACTCAGTCTCTACTCAGACTTCAGGTCTTCTTTTACTTCATCTTCTAGAAATAAATTTAAACGGCTGGAGAGATGGCCCAGCAGTTAAGAGCACTGGCTGTTTTACTAGAGGACCCAGGTTCAATTCCCAGCACCGACATGGCAGCTCGCAACTGTCTGTAACTCCAGTTCCAGGGCATCTAACATCTTCATACAGATACAGATGTAAAATACCAATGCTCATTAAAACAATTTAAAAAGTAATAAAATAAAATGAATTTGAATGTAATTTGAACAAGAAAAAATAAAATAAATCTAGCTAATTTAAAATATACTAATTTTTAAAATCCAAAGTCCACACATCAGTGTAAAATGCAGTAAAATTTGACTGAAGACAAAAATATATCAACTGATATGACTGAAAGAGAAAACTGCCCTTCTCCCAAAAATACAGTCATAACAAGTGCGTGTGAGCCATCAGGTACCCAGCATGTGCCCAAGACTCCTCAAAAGGCATGTGTACAGATAAATTCACATTATGAGTTTAAATTAAATGGCCTTACCTGACTTAGGAGAAAGGTTAAGAGCAGTTTATGCAGCAGAGAAATCACTCATTGCCTCTGGAAGGACCAGGGATGGGGCTCAAATCTGGTCAATTTTCTCATCTGTAAAGGGAAGATAATTGTATGTACCCATTGAATTGCTTAGAAGAATTAAATTAGGTATTTCAAGAACCCATGCTTAGCATGGTACCCAGCACATAGTAATCACTTAATGCTAGCTGCTATTCGAAGCAGTAAGTGGTAGTTTATTAGCATTATCATTTTCATCTCCAGTCTGCAGGGCGAAAATGCCCTCTTCCAGCTGCTAGTGGTTTTCTGAACGGTACAGTGTAATTCTCCACTAATTCAGGCTAGAGAGAGGTTTCTCCTGCGATCCACAGTAGAAACTATAACCAAACCTGCTTTCTACACCTGTAAAGAGCACTTGGGGTTGATTTTCTTCAGATAGAAAACACTAACAGAGGCCAGGCCTGGTGGCGCTTAAGAGGCAGAGGCAGGTGCCTCTCTGTGAATTTAAGGCCAGCCTGATCTACATGGTCATTTCTAGGGCAGCCAGGGCTACACAGTGAAACTGTCTCAAAAAAAGAAAACTAGCAAGTGGAACAGTGTCTGGGGCTTGGGGCACTGCTTCTTCCCTGCACGTGGAGAGCTCAGGTTTGATTCCCTAATGAGCTCAGGTTTGATTCACACACACACACACACACACACACACACACACGGCTGATTTGATTAGAATAGCCATCCGCGCCAATTAATAATTCCTTACAACAAATGCTTACTGGATGCCGGGGCCCCAGTCACGACTGCTGCAGGAGCAGAAAGGAGAAAAAGTAAGTTGTGGCTGAACTCAGACCCTTCTTTCTAAGAATCTGAGAGTAACGGCTCTTCCACTACTGAGTCCATCCACTTTCCCCTTCCTTCTCTTACTAGAATTCTCGGGAGCACGTGACACTCTTGGAAATGGTCTCTCCTGGCCTCAGCCAATAGTCTAGTGTCCCCCGCCTTCCCACCCAGCAGGCACTGCTGGCCAAGCTTCATTTACTTTATAGTGGCCCTTGATGAAAGGCCGACGGGGCAGACGTGGGCTACAAGCAGACTTCAGCAAACTGCTCTTCTGAAGGCTCCAAGTCAAACAAGTTTCAGCAAGTTACTGAATTAAAAAAAAAAAAAGCAGACCTCACAGGGTGTGGTGGCTCACACCTGTAATCTACAACATTAGAGAGGTTGAGGCAGGAGGATTGCTGTAAATTCAAGTCTGTGAATTCCAGGTCACCTAGAATGAGTGTGAAATACTGTCTCAAAAAAGAAAACAAGCTGGGTGGGAGAATGGCAACAAGTTCAAGGCCATCCTGAACTGCGGGAGACACTCTCTCCTTCCTTCCTTAATTCTTTCTTTTTTCTTTCCTTCTTTCTTTCTTTCGATTTTTCGAGACAAGGTTTCTCAGAAGCTATGGAGTCAGTCCTGGAACACGCTCTGTGGACCACCAGACTGGCCTCGAACTCAGGAGATCCTCCTGCCTCTGTCTCCAGAGTGTTGGGATTAAAGGCGTGCACCACCACTGCCCAACTGAGACCTTTCTTTTTTTTTTTCTTTTTTTTTTTTTTTTTTTGGTTCCCTGACCGGGAATCGAACCCGGTCCTACATCCAGACCTTCCAAGTTCTCAGGATTTAAAATTCTCACAGATTCTAACATTTTCAGGCCAGCAGTGGTTGAAATTTCTAAACATTCAAGATCAAATTACTTTATAATCTGTTCTATCTATAAAGTCACCAAGTTACACACAAAAGTATAAGGCACACAGCATTTCCAGGGCACTTATTGCCATTTTTAATGCGCATCTGACTCCAGGATTTCAAACCCGTGTGGGGACTGTCCATGTCCACAAACCTGTTCTCATTTCCAGACAGTCACTATCAAAGCTGCCTGCTCCCACCACCCACCCCGCCAGCACCTCCACACAGCCACACTTCTGAGGCCTCTAACCCTCTAAGTGGCCTTAGCCTGTTCTCTGGCTCACAGCCACCGTAGTTCAAACCCTCTGTCTTCTGGGGAGCCGCCGTACTGGAATTCCATACAGTTTGCCCCCCCTTTATTTTACCCACTACTCCAATCTACTATATTTTAAGTAATATACTTGACCAAAGACTCTGAGGTCTTACAAGTTTTAAAGAAACCCATACTCCTTACCCCAACAGAGAAACTTGAGTCTCCACTAAGTCTCCACTCCCCAGGTCCAAGGCCACAAAGAGCCACAATTAGCAACACAGAAAGCTCTATTGTCCCTAGGCATTTATTCAGACTTCCGGTCCCACCTCCTGAAATACCTAACTCCTCCCATTTGCTTAGGGCAGAAACCTCTGATGCAAAGCCCTCCTAGGGCCTTCCAATGTCAGAGTAGAAAAATAGGTTTCCTTCCTCCAGTTTTACCTATTTTGTATCATTCAATGTTGTAAATATCAGTTCCCTAAGTTTTCTTCTCCACCAGACTAAAATTCTGTGATGGGGGAGGAGAGGAGGAAGAGCTACCTAGAGCTATGGCTTGGTTGCTTGGTAGAGTTGCTCACCAACAGTGCCACAAGTCCTGGGTTCAATAATCAATAAAGAGCACCTCAGAAATAATGGTTACATGCCTAAAATCTCTGCTCTGCAGGTTCCAAAGTTCAAGGTCATACTTCCTGCAGGAGACTCTGTCTTTCTTTTTAAACTGAAGCGCAAGCAAACTAACAAACAGAAAGTTTTTGTATTGTCTGGCTAGGTGCAGACACAGACAGTTGATCTGTTAAAGGAATAAATGACACGGGAGTCAATGAGCCTGTCACCTCCTCAGGTCACTCCAGAATAAGCCTATCAAGGCCACAAACTACCCAAGCCCTCAAAGCCACTAAAGGAACTCTAAATCTTAAGGGCAGACAAGGCAGGAATGGAGGATGTCAAGGCCCTGGGTTCAGTGGCCAGTACCACAAGAAAATGAAAAGAAATTATCCAGGCAGTGGTGGTGCACTCGGGAAGCAGACAATCTCTGTGAGTTTGAGGCCAGCCTGGTCTACAGCCGTCTGTAGCTCCAGCACAGGCTCCAAAGCTACAGGGAAAAAAAAGAAGCAAACCAGCCTCAGGCCCGCTCCTCCACCACTCTAAGGGCCAGAGCTTTGTTTTCCACAGCCGTACTACAGAACAGGTGATGTCAGTGCTTAGCTCACCACGGAGAAACTGAGACAAAGCCTCACTCTGGCCCTAAACACAACTCTGGCTGACATTAAACTCATGATCCTCCTGTCTCAGCCTCCGAAGTTTACAGGTAAGCTACAAGTTCCAGCCTGAAGCTAAGATGATTAATAAAGTCACTTTTAGGGAGCTGGAGAGATGGCTCAGCAGTTAAGAGCATATGCTGTTCTTTCAGAGGACCCAGGTTCAATTCCTAGCACTCAATGGCAGCTCACAACTGCCTGTAACTCTAAGATCTGACACTTCACACAGACATACATGCAGGCAAAACGCCATATGCACATAAAATAAAAACTTGTAAAAATAAAATCAATTTTTAAAATATTTTTATTTCTAATCATGAGAGTATGTATGGTCTGTGTGGGTTTGCACAGCTCTGGAGTGTCTGAGCCCCAGAATCTGAAGTTCCAGTCATGAGTAATCAAATGCCATGCTGAGAATAGAACCCAGATCCTCTAGGAGAGCAGCACGCACCCTTCAGCACTGAGCCATCTCTGCAGCCCCCGCTTTATTTTGATGTGTCTACATGTGGATATACGAATGCATGAGTGTTGGTGCTCTCGGGAGTCCAGGAGGGCATGGGGTCACCTGCAGCAGGCCAGCAGGCCATGGGAGCCACCTGTGGCTCTCTGGAGTTCTCTGCAAGAGCACCAAACGCTCTTAAACACTGAACAATCTCTCCAGCCTGCCTTTAAAATAACAGTAGTAATAATTGCTGTTGTTATTATTATTATAAAAAAAAAGTTCTCCCATGGATCCTAGAACTCACTATATACACTAGACTGGGCTCAAATGCAGAGATCCACCTGCCTCTGCCTCCCTAGAATTAAGTGTGTGCCACCATTCCCAGCTTAGTGTTCCTTTTGATTTGAATAATAACATTAGTTTGAGAGGTTGCCAGGATGGCTCAGCTGGTGAAGGCACTTGTTGCCAATCCTGACAGTCTGAGCTCAGTCTGTGGGACTCACTTTGTGGAATCAGAAATCTTGACTCCTGTAAGTTGTCTTCTAAACCCCCACATGCATAAACACACACACACACACACACAAACAAAATACAATTACATTAAAAATATTCATTTTAATTGTAAAGTTTTATATCACTAGGATTAAAGGCCAATTTGATTCTAAAGCCCAAACTTTGAGCCAATACAAAAGTACGTAACTGTTACCTGCAGGGGTCCAAGCTTAAGCTGTCTGCACCTCACACAAGACCAGAAGGCACTAAAATGAGCAGGACGGATAGAGCTGCTCTCCAAATCTAGTATGAGTATGTACTATTTTTAGTAAGGGAAAAAGCAAACAAACAAGATGTTTCTTAGATGGTGTTACTAAAGAACATAGGGTAGGCTAGAAGAAGCATCTAATCCTTATAGCAAGGAATTTTATTTCCCTGTCCTGCTAAAGAAACCAAAGATTAAGAAGCAACGGGACCAGAGCAAAGCACAACCCAAAGCCCGCTCCAACCACACACAACTGACGACGGCGGGATACACAGAGCCCGCTCCAACCACACACAACTGACGACGGCGGGATACACAGAGCCCGCTCCAACCACACACAACTGGACGACGGCGGGATACACAGAGCCCGCTCCAACCACACACAACTGGACGACGGCGGGATACACAGAGCCCGCTCCAACCACACACAACTGGACGACGGCGGGATACACAGAGCCCGCTCCAACCACACACAACTGGACGACGGCGGGATACACAGAGCCCGCCAAAAAAGGAGGTCTTCTAGAGAGGGATGGGGTGGGTGTTAGCTATAGAGCCAGGCTGGCCTGGAACCTGAGGTCCTCTGGTCCTGCAAGTGTCAGGTTATGAGACACTATCTCCAAAATAAATATAAATAAATAAGGTAAGTCACATTATGTGAAAGAACTAGAATCAAGTGGTCTGTCACCTTAAATCGGGGAGGAGAAGCAGGAGGCAAAACATTTTAACTTGGGTTTCTCCCAAATCTCAAAATGGCCAGGAGCACTGTCTAAAACCAGCCTTCACGGGCCTCTGGGATATGCTCACGGCTGACGCAGTGAGAAGCCGACTCTTGGGCCACTTTGAGAACACAGCTGTCTTCACCCTACTCTACAGCCCTGAGCCAGTCTCACCTACTGCTTCACAAAGGATCAGGTGCGGAAAGAAGCTGTCTTTAGACACAAATGGCCAGGCTGTCTAAAATCCCCAAACTGAGATACTGGGAGCTAGCCCAAAAGATCTTAGCGAGAGGGAAAGAAAGTGTTTGGTTGAACTAACACTTTGAAGAGCCCACACTTCAGACTGTCTATCTAAATACAAATTCCCTCCCCTCTAAACTTAGCAGCCATGGGAGCCAGACTGAGGGCTCAGAAGTCAAGAGCGTGGGTGGCTCTGTCAGGTGACCCAGGGTTCATCCTCAGCACAAGCAACTGGAACTCCAGTTCCAGGGGATCTGACGCCCTCTTCTGGCCTCCTCAAGTATAACACCCACATGGTGCACAGGCACACCTGCAGGCAAAACACCCTAACACAAAAATAAAATAAAAATTTAAAAATAGCAGAAATATGATTTTTCTGGAAAGAAAAAAATGGAGATGGGTTCCTCAAATTTCTTTATGAAATCTTTCAGAGGAAAGAAAAGTTGAGTTATAGATTAAATAAACATCTACTTTTTAAACAAAACAACTCATAGTGAAAAAGACAGTCCTTTTTCAATTAAAATAATTCAGCATGTTCCCAGAAAGTCTCTTATTAGTTTGAAATAAAATTAACTTTGAAGACAACAAATCAACCATTTCTTTAGGAATGAAACAGCCCATGAATGGGTTACAACAAGGAATTAAAATGTTTGGGACAGGATGTGGGGGGAAAAAAAAACATCAAACTTTCAGTATTTGTACATATATAGTTTCTGAAACTCTAAAGAATACGAAGCTGAAGATAAGCACTAAATACATGGATCTCTCAGTTTGAGGCCAGTCAGGTCTAAGAGGGAGTTCTAGGACTACAGAGACACCCTGTCTCGAAAAACAAACAGCACAAATGAACACAAAAACATATTACAAAATAGTAAGATTTCCTTCGACTTTTAAAATATCCTGGGAAAGGGGGACTGAGAATGAGTTTTTTTCTATACGGTTTGCTCTAAAAGTAAGGGCCATAACAGGGATAATGGCTTTGCTATACACATACATGAAATGCCCTAGTCAATAAGCAATTTCAATTAATCAATAACGTAAAACGAGCATTACATGTAATTTGCATTTTAATACCAAATCCATACCATCTTCAAATATCAAGACTTTCTTAGGCACAAGTCTAAATGGCCGGCCGTCTAACACTGAGAAAACAGAGCTCTGTTTTAGCCAGACAAAAGCCAAGGATTCTTGGTAAGAACCATGTAAGGAGCCTCACTGTGATGCCTGAGAGAAGTCAGACCAAGTCATGAATTACCCCGGGCTTCTACAATTGACAGGCAGTTTTTCTCTACCACTGAGTGATCAGAACGTGGACTGCCTGTGCCAGCAATCTCCAACCTGCAAACACACACACACACACACACACACACACACCACACTGACCCAAGCTCTGCTAATAAAGGGGTCAAATGAACTCGCCACACATGCCCACGATGGGGCTAGGGGTGGCTGGGCCATGCACGCTGCAATTTCAACACTAAACAACAACCAGACGGCGGTCAGCTGTAGCCCAGCCTATCCTTGAAAAGTAGGAAATCTAGATTTTGAAATTTAAGTTTACTACATGAAAGAAAAAAGAAGGGAAAGAAAGTTTCAGAGTTGATGGCACCAAAACCAGAACCAAAATCGAGTTCGTTTATAGGGTAGGCCAAAGTCAAAGTCTATGTTCAGTTCACAGGGCTCCTCCGCAGATCCCTGAGCTGGAGCAATCTCAACTTTCGGTGTCTTAAAACCCCCTTCTCTCTAATCGTAGACAGACATCTAAGGGTATCACACAAGGCTAAACACAGTCACTATCAGAACAAACCAATCACTGCTCCTTAAACTGCAGGTAGACCTTGCTTCAAAAGCCGCCCTGCCCTCCAGTTCCTTCCTCCCAATTTTGAATGCTCTGCAACGCCTGTCAGCGAGGTCCCCCCCATGGCTTCAGTTTCTGAGTTGGTTTTACCGGACGGTGACCAAATCAGAAGGGGAATCTCCTACAACTGGGGGGACCGGGGGGGCTGCTCCGAAGCCTGCCTGGTCCTGCCCCTCGCCCTGACAGTTTGCTCTCTTCTGCCCGGAGCTGTCCAGAAAGGAGGCACTGGGAGACCCAGAGGAGTCCGGGGGGGAGAAAAAGGTGGGAGTGATAAATGAACAAGTAACACCCCCACGGCTGTTCCGTGGGGTACGGGACTTCAAAAAGTGGGGGAGGCCGACGGGCAAAGACTGTGCAGTGGAAACAGCACCTGAACCGACCTCCTCCCTTCCCACCCCCCAAAGCCCAGTCACTAACTAAGAACGCTACGAAAAACCCCTTGAAAACTTTTCCAAACCGGAAGAGAAGGCTTCTCCCCGGGCCTGCGAGCTCGTGGGGAACGGGCTGGAGTTGGCAGCCCCGAGGGGGACCGCGGGGAGTGGGGTGGGGCGCGGGCGAGGGGTGCAGGGGCGGAGTACCTCGAATGGACGGGAACTGGCGGAGAGTTTCGGGCCAGCCGAGGGCTCTCCCGCACGGCCTCGGGGGGGGGGGGGGGTCCCCGGCGCTAGGACCGGGGCTCCCCGGAGAGCAGCAACCCCCAATCTGGGCCTACAAGGAAACTTTCCGGGCCGCGGCTGCACCTGACTTCTCGCCGCCCCTCCACCCCACGTCCGCCAGGCCGCCCGCCCCGCCCCGGCCAGGCCGTCCGTGGCGCCGCCGAGGGGGATAAATAAACCCCTCAGTTACCGGGATCCCGGGCCCGTCCGTCCGCCTGCGCGACGCTCGGGGCCGGGGGCGGCCGCACACTCTGCCGCCCGGGTCCCCGCCGCCCGGCCTTCCGCCCCGCGGGAGAGCCTGGGGCCGGCGCAGGATGCAGCCCGCCCCGCCGTCCGCCCTCCCGCCCGCCCGCCCCGAGGCCCCGGGGGACCCAGGGGCGCGGGAGGCCTGTGGCGCGGGGGCAGGGCGCGGCCGCCGCGGGGCCCGAGGCCTAGGGAGCCCCCCCACACCTCCGCGGCGTTCCCCAGGCCCGGCCCGCGCAGGCCGCGCTCGGTCCGCCGCCGGAACCCCCGCCGTAGCCGCCCGCGGGCGTCCCCGAGGCCCCCAGTCCCCGGGCCCCTGCCACCCTAGCGCCGGCCCCACTCACCCTTTCATTCTCCGCCCGCGGCCTGGCGTGGGCCGGCGAATCCCCGGCCTCACGTAAGCGCGCTCGCCGCCCGCCCTGCCTGCGCGGCCCAGCCCGCCGCCCTACGGGAGCCCGGGGATGTGGGCCGGGCCTGGGGCCGCCTCTGCTTACCTTTCAGCTGCCTTTTTTTTTTTTCTGTTTTTTTTTTTCTCCTCCTCCTCCCCCCCCCCCTCCCCCGCCCTTCCCTCGACTGCGCTGACAGATCAGAGAGGCGCTGGCGGCGGACTAGGAAGCTCGGCTGCTACTGCTCTCCCCCAGGGCTTCAGCGGGAGCCTTTCCCTGTCGAACAAGAGGGGTGAGGATCATATTTTTATTTTGGGTCGGCGATCATTAGGGGGGAAATCCCTGAATGTACTCTCCAGCCGAGAAGGCAGGGCTGCCCGGCTGCACTGGCAGGGGCAGCAGCCTCCTACAGCACCACTACAGGCACCGCGGGGACATGACACCACACAGCAGTCCTCTGCCCTCCGAAACGACAACTTTCCTACCATCTTGGAGGCCGAGCAAAGAGGAGCCAAGGGGAAAAGTGCAACCGGCTGCGGATAAAGTACAAATCTCTACCTCTCCTCTCCGGAAAAAGTCCACACTCGCGGTCTCCGCCGGCGCCTAAGGGGGTCTGAAAAGCGGGGAAGGAAACAAGTTCATTTGCTCCGTGGGGGGAGGGGGGGAATGTTTCTGCACCTCTGATGGGAAGAAATCTTTACAAGACACAGGTTTTACGATATTATTGTTTTCCATTTTAATTTTTTCCCCCGGTGGTGACAGTGGTAGCTTAATTTTTTTTCAGACTAATTATGATTTTTCTCTGTGGCAGGCCCAAGTTCCGTATGTGGTGGTCAGTCTGTAAATTGGCACCTCAGAGACTTCAAGGTCACTTTATTGTATTTATTTTGTTGCCCGTTTATATTGTATGTATGCATGCTTATGTTTTCAGGTTACAGTTAAGATTTTGTGGTCTTGGTATCTACGAAACTGAGGGTGCTGCAAGTCAATTGTAAAGAGATTTCTTTTGTCTTCTCTCAAAGCGATGTAAGTAAAACCTATTGACTGTCCAGAAAGACCCAAGATAGCTGTTTATTTTTCACAGTGCAAATAAAAGCACCGTGTATCTAAAGCGTCCTACAGCAGACCAAACCTGTGGTCTGTCTGCCCAAGAAGGTTACTCCACTAAACCTAGCAGTAGACTGAAAGATGCTTTGCATTTCCTTTAAGTAAAATTATTTATTAAGAATTACATCTAGGGTGTCATTTGTGTTACTTCCTTCAGTTTGTATAGATAGTTTAACGTTCAGGTCTTCGCTGCATTACCTACAGTTCTGTCTGCCTCTCTAACAAGAATTGAAGGGGTGTTGAAATGTTCAGAACATCCAGTGTAGTGCCAGCCCGTTGAGTAACTTTATAGACTGCAGAGATGTCATGAATTTACTTTTGGTTTTTTGAGTCCGGGTTTCTCTGTAGCTTTGGAGTCTGTCCTGGAACTAGCTCTTGAAGACCAGGCTGGCCTAGAACTCACAGAGATCCGCCTGCCTCTGCCTCCAAGTGCTGGGATTAAAGGCTTGTGCCACCACCACCGGGCTATGAGTTTACTTTTTTTTTTTTTTTGGTGTTGGGACTCAACACAAAACGAGGTAGACCTGGTCCATGACTTCATATTCTAATATCTCTGTCTCCCACCACCACCCCCGCCTGTCTGGTGACCAGCTGATTTCAATGAGCTGGAATGGAAGGAAGGTGGTGACAAAGCAGGTGTGACTAGGTCAGACTGACAAGGGCCAGAGATGTCTTTTTTTTTTTTTTGATAGTTATTGAGTTCCACATTTTTCTCTGCTCCCCTCCCTGCCTCTTCTCCCACAAGGTCCCCATGCTCCCAATTTACTCAGGAGATCTTGTCTTTTTCTACTTTCTACTTCCCGTGTAGATTAGATCTATGTAAGTCTCTCTTAGTGTCCTCATTATTGTCTAAGTTCTCTGGGATTGTGGTTTGCAGGCTGGCTTTCTTTGCTTTATGTTTAAAAACCACTTATGAGTAAGTACATGTAATAATTGTTTTTCTGGGTCTGGGTTACCTCACTCAAAATAATGTTTTCTAGCTCCATCCATTTTCCTGCTGTCGTTATTATTTTCTGCTGTGTAGTACTCCATTGTGTAAATGTACCACATTTTCCTTATCCATTCTTCAGTTGAGGGACATTTAGGTTGTTTCCAGGTTCTGGCTATGACAAACAAAACTGCTATGAACATAGTTGAGCACATGTCCTTGTGGCACGATTGATCATCCTTTGGATATATACCCAAAAGTGGTATTACTGAAAGGTTGTTTCCTAATTTTCTGAGAAATCGCCACACTGACATCCAAAGGGGCTGTACCAGCTTGCATTCCCACCAGCAATACAGGAGTGTTCCCTTTACCCCACCACCTCTCCAGCATAAGCCGTCATCAGTGTTTTTGATCTTGGACATTCTTACAGGTGTAAGATGGAATCTCAGAGTTGTTTTGATTTGCATTTCTCTGATGGCTAAGGATGTTGAAAATTTCCTTAAGTGTCTTTCAGCCATTTTAGATTCCTCTATTGAGAGTTCTCTGTTTAGGTCTGCACTCCATTTTTTTATTGGATTATGTGATCTTTTGGTGTCCAATTTCTTGAGTTCTTTGTATATTTTGGAGATCAGCCCTCTGTCTGATGTGGAGTTAGTGAAGATTTTTTCCCATTCTGTAGACTGGCATTTTGTCTTGTTGACAGAAGCTTTTCAGTTTCAGGAGGTCCCATTTACTAATTGTTTCTCTCAGTGTCTGTGCTGCTGGGGTTATATTTAGGAAGTGGTTCTGTTGCGGGAGGTCCTCCCACTCCTCCAGCCTATCACCGCTGAGGTACCAGCCCACTGGGGCGTGGTTTCTCTCCCTTTAAAAAAGCGGCCACTTCCCTCTCCTCTCTCTCTTCACTTCCTGCTCCGCCTGCAACTAGACTCCTTTTCTGGTTACATAGAGGGCTGTTGCCTGGGACATTGATCCTCCTGCCTCTGCCTCCTTCATGGTTCCCTGTGCCAATGCATTCAAGTGTACTTTCCACTTTCTCTTCTATAAGATTCAGTGTGACTGGCTTTATGTAGAGGTCTTTGATCCATTTAGACTTGAGTTTGGTGCCTGGTGATAGATATGGGTCTATTTTCATTTTTCTATATGTTAATATCCAGTTATGCCAGCACCACTTGTTAAATATGCTTTCTTTTTTCATTTGTTATTTTTTGCTTCTTTATCAAATATCAGGTGTTCGAAGATGTGTGGATTGATATCCGGGTCTTCTATTTGGTTCCATTGATCCTCCTATCTGTTCTTTTGCCAATACCAGGCTGTTTTCAGTACTGTAGCTCTGTAGTAGAGTTTGAAGTCAGGGATTGAATTTACTTTTTTAAAAAATGATTTATTTATTTTTATTTTATGTGCATTGATGTTTTACCTGCATGTGTGTCTGTGTGAAAGTGTGGAGTCCCCTGGAACTGGAGTTACAGACAGTTGGGAGCTGCCATGTGGGTGCTGGGAATTGAACCTAGGATCTCTGGAAGAGCAGCCAGGGAGTGCTCTTAACCACTAAGTCCTCTCTCCAGCCCCAGAATTTCCTTTTTCTTTTTCCTTAAGAGCAAACTTTAGTACATAAAGAGTGTCAAAGTTAACGTGTGCGGTGTGGCGGTGACACCGAGGTGCTGCATGCAGGCTTTTACTCCTGCATAGTGGAGGGTTACATGCTGGCTTTTACTTCTGCATAGTGGAGGGTTACTTGCTGAGGCATGAGGAGCGCAATAGGAAGTGACCAGGCTGTTCGTATGTTCCAAGGGAATGAGGAGTTTTCATTTAAATTCATTACAAGTCATTTAGGAGTAACTGATAACTCAAGTTTAAAATGCCTACTTCTGAGTTACCACTTTAAGATTAATTCAGATACTCTTTGTAGATCTTTATTATCTAAATTTGCATGTAATATCTTCTGAGAGTTTTACATCCCTTTGATGGGAAAAACTATAGGCATTAAAATTAGCCAGTTTCTCACACCTTGGAAACCTTACTTGTGAAGTTGTCTTATATTTACAGTTTTATTGTTTCTTTTGCTTTGTTTTGTTTGTTTTGAGATAGGATCTTGCTGTATAACCCAAGCTGGCCCTGAACTCAATGTGTAGTTCAGACCTGCGTCGAACACCTAGCAATCCTCCTGCCTCTCACGTGCTAGTATTAGTCGCATACCATACCACCTAACCCGTATTTGTTCTTTATCACGTGGACACGAAGCCCAGTGGTTGTTACGAGAGAGTTTCCACGACAGAGACCACTGTTGGAACTGGAAAGCACGGTTGCCAGCAGTGTGCAAACCCTGTGCGTGCCTTAACTTTATATAGACGATGGTCCCAGCATGCCGTGTGCTGAAGCAGCCTTAGTATTCAGCCAGTGTGCAATCAGCCCTCCTGTCACCGCAGACCTTCTTGTGTGACCAGCAAAGGCCGTGGCGCTTGACTTTAGGATTTCATTGCTGTTTCGTGCCCCGGGTTTTACATTGTCATAACCCATGTGTACCCCATCATCCCAGCTAGCCAAAATTTGGGAAATTACAGTTCAGCCAAGAAGGAAGAAATCCTACTAAATCTACTGTTAGAGAAGCTAATTGTGAAGATTTGTTAGATTTAGCATGTGGAGAGGCCCTGAGTTCCTCAAGTGGAGGTCAGAAGTCAGTCTGTGGGAGTCTTTCCTTCCACCATCGATCCATCTCAGGGATCAAACTCAGGTCATCAGGTTTGGCAGAAAGAGACTTTACCCATGAACCATCTTACCAGCCCAGGATTTGTTTAGGCTGACAGTTAAAAGCATTCCAATGCCATGTGTGATTCCTAGGAACTGTGGGTGCTAATACAAATTAATAACAATGGAGGAGCCCTTGTTTTCCCCAGTGATATTGCTGAGCCCTTGACAGACCTTGGGAACATTTCTAGACTCTTCATTTCTGTTTATTTATTTTATTTTATTGGTTTTTCGAGACGGGATTTCTCTGTGTATCCCTGACTGTCCTGGAACTCATGCTGTAGACTGACTGGTCTCGAACTCAGAGATCCGCCTGCCTCTGTCTCCAGAATGCTGGGATCTGTGTGCACCAGCGCCACCTGGTTAGACACTTTAATGTATGTGTTATTTATTTGTTGTTTTGGGTTTGGTTTAGTTTGAGACTGTTCCACTATGTTAGCCAGGCTGGTCTAGAACTCACTCTGTAGACTACGCTGCCCTTGAGTTCACAGAGATCCCCTTTACCTCTGCCTCGTGAGTGCTGGAATTAAATCTGTATACCACTGTCTTCTCCCCTTTTTGAAGAAGGGTCTTTCCCTGTAGTCCAGGATGGCTTGAACTCCCTTTGTGGCCCAAGGTAGTCTTGAATTCATAACCCTTTTACCACAGCCTATCTACAGTGTTAAAATTATATACACCAAGATAGCTTGCTGGATCTGCCGTTTGCTACTTACGATTTTAGTTTTGTAAAAATTGAGTACTTGGGCCGGGCGGTGGTGGCGCACGCCTTTAATCCCAGCACTCGGGAGGCAGAGGCAGGCGGATCTCTGTGAGTTCGAGACCAGCCGGGTCTACAAGAGCTAGTTCCAGGACAGGCTCCAAAACCACAGAGAAACACTGTCTCGAAAAACAAAAACAAAAAAAAAAAAAAAATTGAGTACTTGGCTGGAGAGATGGCTCAGTGGTTAAGAGCAGCTACTGCTCTTTCAGAGGACCCAAGTTCAGTTCCTCACACCCACAGAGTAGGCCCCAAACATGTATATCTCAAGTTCTGGGGATTTCAATGTCCTCTTTTGACCTCAGTGGGCACCAGAAATGCATGTAGTATATATGCATACATGCAGGCAAAACACACACATAAACCTGAAATTTGAGTACCTCATTGTGAATATTATAATGAAGTTATTAAGAAATTGACAACTAGATCCTGTCTGTAAAAGTTCTCCTTTATACGGTGATATATATGGAAATACAACAATAGCCATTATTTTGTTTGCTTACTAAAGAATTAGTTTTAAAAATCTCATTTAGAGATTGTAGATTTAAAGAAAAACATTCATGTGTGCCATCAGTAAAAAAGCCATCTCTTCCCTGGCAAATGTCTGGTGACAGAATCATCAATTCTTTTTTTTTTTTCTTTAAAGAAAGAATCCACTGACAATAGACATTGTTACTCAGTTTTACTAAGACTTTTGTTTGATTTGGAGGGAGCTTGTTTTGTGGGTCGCTTGGGTTTTATTCTTTTTTGAGAAAGGGTCTCATGTGACCTAGGCTAGCATCAAACTGTATATAGCTGATTCTCCTCCCCCCAACTTTGAAGTGCTGGGATCATGGACATGTATACCACATCCAGCATATTAAACACTGAGGACAGGCTCCATGCTAAGCACTGGCTTGGTAGCTAATGCCAGGCAGGAGGATGGACAGACAGATCCAGAGACCTTGCTTGCATGGATGAATGAGTGTCGCAGCACAGTGCTGCAGTTATTGCAGAGGCTGGCTGGGCAGCTAAGCTGAGCCAGCTCGTGGCTCTGTGGGGTTATGACTCATCAGTATCTACTGGGCAGCAGATCCCAAGACCCTGAAGTGCATAGGTGGAGGTACCGTGTGCCTAACACTGACCACAGACAGTTCTAAGCCTGTTTTAGAAACAGCCATTGATAGTATTTCTATCTAAAAAAAAGACTGGGTTTTACTGTGGTTACTGGGTCTTGCAAGAAACTATCTC